TACATTACATTTGCCATTTGATGTTGGACAATGTTGTGGTCATATGAGCGCACTTGCCACACGCGACGTGCCTACATTTGAATTGACGAAATGTTGGTCGGCAGGTAAAATGGACCAAAGAACCGTTCGGTTTAAAAATGCGTACCGAAAACCGAACCGAAAGCCTTGTACCGAACGGTTCAATACGAATACGTGTATCGCAACGCTACTGTCTGCATGTATGCGTTACAATGTAGCAGCGCATTAGTTTAGATCGGCGATTAACTGTGTACAGTAAGCTTTTTAAAATGTGCTTTCTCTCAATCAATTGTGAGCATCGAGTCTAATCGAACGTACACTCTAAAAAATGCTGGGTTGTTTTAACCCAATTTTGGGTAAAATATGGACAAACCCAGCTATTGTGCTACATTTTTAAATTAAATTTTTAACCCAGTGGCTGGGTTTGTCCATATTTTACCCAAAATTGGGTTAAAATAACCCAGCATTTTTTAGAGTGTACGTTCGATTAGACTCGAGTGTATCAGTTTGAGCGCTCTATATGCATTTATTTCATTTGTCATTTTAACTTTTGGAAATGGAGCGTAAAAGGAGTCTTTGAAAATTTCTAATCCGGTTGCTCCCTCTAATAGGCCATGATTAGCTACTAGTCTGCGTCAAGTTTAAAGCGTCATAGCAGAAGACTAAAGTCGTCTATGCAACCTCTAACATAAAGGCCTATATATATACTGTATTTTCCCAAATTATGTTGTACAACTAGAAATGTATTGTTATCGACCCTTATCTTGAACAATATTTTTTTTTCTCACGCAGCACATATTTGAAATAAATATAAATATGATTTAAAGCTGTATGGGTAGCTGTATATTTTTGCATTGAACGACAATATCATGTAAACGATTTCAGCTTACATGTGGCATCAGGCAACTGTTCTCATTATCAAACAAGTTTGGGAGAGCATCCATCCACAGTTCTGAAGGCCATCTCTTCTGTTCACCGGCTCCCTGTCACAGTTTTGCGTATTGAAAGCTGGCGGAACACAAAGACTGAGGAGCTTTAATGAGCCAAAGTTCTCTTCTCATCGAGGTGGCAGCTTGTGTCAGAAATGAAGCTCGTAATAGAATGCCAGTCCAGGGCAGGCTCCACTGAACATTTCCTACTGTTATGGTAATGGCTTTACCGCTACCTCATCAAAGAGTTGGGGTGATTTTGCTCCATTGTTATTTTTATCTTCCTCCCTCATGTCTTCAAATCATCTCCGAATGGCCGCAGCATTTAGCAGTTCAGTGTAGCATTTGCTGCTTTCAGATGTAAATTCAGTTTTTGCCTCCGAAAACAAATGATGCAAGATTTTATTCCTTGACAGGCTTGAAGTGTTTTCTTGCAGTTTTTTTTTTTTTTGTCTGTGCGTTTTGAACTGTCTGAGGAGAATCTATTGAAACAGAACTTTGGAAGCATCAAACACTTGAGTCAAGAAGTGAAGGCCTCTTGAGGTAAGAGACAAGGTAAAGTGGTCACTGGTCATTCCAATAATTCAAATTGGGCTGAGCTTTAAAGGGCATCCCAACATGAAAGCAGGTACACATCAGGGGACAGATGCCACTCTGGGGTTCTGCTGCTTGCAAAATAAACTATCCTTAGCTAAAAGTTTTTTTTTTAATGGTAACCAATTCAGCTGCAAAGGTGCCTTCACTTCAAACTGGACTTGGGAAATCTTCTATCGAGAGACCTGACTGTGTAGCAAAACGTTTTCTTTCAATTGGCTATTTTTCCTCCAGTTGAACTTGATTCAAGTGAACTTTTTTTTGTTTAACTGTCAGTCAACATTTTACTGCAAAATATGAAGCCAGGCATACTATACTAGGCAATACGTTTGGCTTGAAATCCGTTTCAATAACCACTCATCCGAAAGTATGGACACATCGTTTTAAAGCAACTACAACAATCAAATCACCGTCACTATTCATTGGGGGCCGAAGAATTGCTGTTATTTTTGTTAGTAAGAATGAAGGACAGAGGGCAGCCATCATCATATTCCCTGTAATTGCTTTTTGACTGATGTGCAGCTGCCAATAAATTGAATCAGGCCAGATTACCAGCCGAGTTTCAGAGCAACTGTGCCTCTAAAGAAACTGAATCAATTGTGGAAGAACCCACCTCTTGAACAATTTGCTAGATCCATTCTTCCCCATAGAACTAATCTTCAGTCGTGCTGGAGAGTGGTGCAGCAGTGCCTCTTATTGTAAGACGTGCAACCATTTTTTGGGCGTTTTTAAAATTATGTGCGATGAACTTGTGAAATCTTGAGATGTAGGTCTGTATATTTCTAACAAAACACCAATTTAAAACACATATGCATGTTCAATAGAACATGTTTAGTTTCTATTTGTAAGTGAGACATTAAAAAATAGTTCAATTCCGGCATCATTTACTCACCCCTCATGTCATTCAAAGCTGTATGACTGTAGAACACAAGAATGTTGGGGTCCAATCACCATCAAACCCCTTTGATTTCTATTATTTTAACAAAAACATCACTAAGCCATTTTTAAACAACATGAAGATGAGTAAATGACACATTTTCCAATACAAATACATCCACTCCATGGCATGCATTGATTTTTTTTTTTTTTTTTTTTTTTAGTTTCTTTAAAAGCTAAATACTTCACTGTTGATTTATTGTGCTATATATTAGTATTTCATTTTTTTGTGTTCTGTAAAAATATATTCAAATTAAGTGACTTTGTTTCAAACAGTCTGCCAAACTGGCCCTTTAAATTAAAGTTTATTTCTTTATAACCCCACTGTCAGATTTAAAAAAAAAATAAATAAATAAATAAATAAATACAATATATATATATATATATATATTAAGAATTAAGTAAAAAAAAAAAAAATACTAAAACAAGATTTAATATCTTGCGTGATTTTGCTTCTCAAGTAAATGTGTCAAGAAAGATTTAAGAATCTTTAGATATTTTTAAAGGTAGACAAAAAAAACTGAGGAAAATCTTTTTTTTTTTTTTTTTTTTTTTTTTTTTTTCACACAGTGTGAACAAGATATTATTCATGCAGAGGTATACACTATTCACTATTTATCACAGCACTAGGTCACTAGGTATACACTATTTATCATTAATCGTTGGCATTTAGCAGTGGACATCTGTCATAGTATGTGGAAATGGGAACCATTCTATCTAAGCTCCAAAATGGACCACTATCAGCACTAAACATAGAGGTGAAGTGCGAGCATCTGTCCATATACAGTAGGTCATGGCCTAATTTTGAGGCTTGCAGCTTGAAAGAGATAGAGAGTTTGAGAAAGACAGAGAGGGGGAAACCGGGAGCAAGATGAAACCGTTTGACATTTATAATTCTGTCCCTTGATAGTGAATTTGCTCAGCGGGTATTGTGTGTGTGTGTAGTAATGTGGTGCTGGTCCATAGCAAGGACAGAGAGTAGTGAGTGATGCATAGAATTATTGCGTGCATTCCTGCCTCAACATTTTGGAACTGGAATTGGAATTGGAGGATTTTGGATAATAATCATATTGATATGTTTATAAATTATGAAGTTTGGATATTCAGGGATTTAGAAGTGAAATGCAAAGCCCATTTGAGTCATACCTGAATCTTGATGATCTGACAAATTGTCATATTTTTTCTTATTGTTGGGCATCACTGCAAGGCTGTACTCATAACAAACGAGAATGGAGAAAAATGTTCTTTTGGTGAACAGTTGCTTTTAAAAACTGAAAGGGATAGTTTTCCCAAAAATGTCCTGAAAATTCTGTCATCATTTACTCACCCTCAAGTTGTTCCAAACCTGTATGAATTTATTTCTTCTGTTGAACACACACACAAAATGTCAGTAACCAAACAGTTGATGGGCACCATTGACTCCCCCCCCCCACCCCCACCCCACATACTATGGAAGTCAATTGCTACCCTCAAGCGTCAACTGTTTGATTACCCATATTCTTAAAAATGTCTTCTTTTGTGTTCAGAAGCAGAAAGAAATTCAAATGCAAATCTGAACAAGTGATAAAATGAAGGAGCTACATACTGAGAGAGAAAAATTGTGTTGCCTATCATATGGTTCAAAACATTTAAATTGACATAACGTAGTAGAAGATGTGTATTCAGTATCTTAGATTATTACTCTTGACAGAGAGCTGGTTCAACCCGATCTCACGACCAAGTCGTACGAATTTGACGAATGATTAAAAAGGGGCTAATTCGTACGAATTAGTACGATTTTGCTAAATCGTACATATTTTACAAATTGGCCAATTCGTATGAATTCGTACAAATGACCTACCCCTTACCCCGCCACTAAACCTAGCCATCACGTGGGTTTAGACAAATCGTACGAATTCGTATGCGTGAGGTCGTACGAATTAGTACGAATTAGACACTTTTTAATCATTCGTCGAAATCGCACGAATTGGTCGTGAGATAGGGTAGGCTGGTTTGATTTTGCGATTGTGCCTATTTCATTAATTTGTGTAGGCTATCATATTGTAGGCTACAAGGTTTAAATAATTTAAATATACATATATAAAATATTAGAATGTGTATGATGTAGTATTTTAGTTGATATTGGGCTACTCTTGCCAAGCTTTCATTTCTGAGAGAATCGCGAAGATGGCAACGCGGCTATTTGATTTGCACTCAATTCATTTATAAAGTTTACTTCACACACATTATTATATAATGATGATAGAGGTTTATGTATAAAATTGTGCTTTCCCCTGGCTTATCCAGAAAACACGAGGAGTGACTGTCAGCTGAATATTTTTTTTTTTATTATTTGGCAGGATTATTCTATTAGTTGTCATTGCATTCATGTCACTATACTGAATCATTGTATGACTTCATGCATTTCACATGTACTTACTAATCATTATATATATTAAACAATCATGTAATTCAGACATTTAATGACTGTATCGCACCTCATTCCATACTCCATTTCTGTCTCCACCCCCCTTCTCTCATTAGAGGCCATTTTGTGTGACGTTGGAGAGTTTCTGTGCGGAGACCAGCTGACCTGTGTGTCCGATAACTGGCTTTGTGATGGGGAACCAGACTGCCCAGATGGTTCTGATGAAGTTCTGGACAAATGTAAGTAACCATTACACCAATCCACAAGGCATCTCTACATTCCCATATGTCCATTTGCCAAAAATCAGCATTACTCTTCACATGATTATGTTCCTTGGCTTGTTTAATTCCAGATTGCTCTTCACATGCAAAGTGCAAAGAATGATAGCTAGGCATTTTAGGGGAATGAAAGTGTCCTGATTTTAATATTTAATTTGATTCACGAAAAGATTGATCAGTTTATGCTAAAGCCGTGTGCCCGATTGCTTCCTGTTTGTCCAGGGCATTTCCAGAAGAGCTTAATTTATAACCAGGGACAGTGAGTCAACTATTCTCACCACTGGTATTCTATTATCATTTAGATTAATCATGTTCACTCTGTTTTATTTATAATGCTTTTTTTTTAATCCCCATGAATTTATCGTGGGGATTTTGTGGTGCTCATTACCATAGATTATGTTTCGATAGGAAAGTCATTACAATATGCATTGCACAACAAAATGTGCAGTGGAATTTAATGTGTTTTAGAAGCCAGAACAGACTACTATCGCAAGAGTGTACTAACAGCACTCCACTGACATGGGTAATTTTATTCATGCGTTTGTTTGGGCATATCGGGCACCCTGAGGTTACCGTGTTGCTTACGATAGTGGGGAAAAATCAGTGAGTAAACCGCGCAATCTTAATCCAGAAATCTATGCACATTTTTTGTCAAGTCATTTATTTATGCATGGATCCATCTCTGTATTTAGAACAGCCAATCTTATACAGTTGCCAAGGATTGAAACACGCGCATAAGAAAAAATCAAGGTAAATTGTTTTGGTAAAGATTATCCATTAATGATCGAACAAACTAAGTTACCAAATTTTTAACTGTGGGGTAATGTACCATCTGCTTCAACTAATGTTTATAATAAGCTTTGCATCTAAATGCAGGAGATACTTTGGAAATACACTTTTTTTTTTTTTTGGGAGTCGTAGCCAATATATCTTCCAAAGGTCTGAGGGAGCACTGGCAAAGTAAAATCCACCTTTCAAACAAAACAATTAACAATGTGGTTCCTACATGAATCAGCCACATAAAAGTCTGATCAACTACTAGGACATAGTAGTTGATATTTCATTTTCAAATACTTCATATTTTGATGTAGACTTGATGGTTGGAATGTGGTATAATAAAATCTTAGTTCTGGAATATTTTTTATTTTAATTCTGACTTTATAACTTATAATTCTGACCTTTTTTCTCACAACTGTGAGTTTATGTCTTGAAATTCTGAAGATTTGCACAGTCAGAATTGTGAGATAAGAAGTCGCAATTATGTTTTAATATGTTTTTCACTGGATTTTTTATTTATTTATTCATATTTGATAGTTTTTGTTTTCACTTTCTTCTAATCTGATTTGATAGTGGATATCCTGATACATAATTTGATGCATTAATTTCACCTCTATCTTTCTCCTTGACTGGAGGTTAACCCTTTATGACTTGCCATAGAAACAATTCCACCAGAGTATATCTTTTTATTTGTACATGCTGTGCTGTCATTCTTTTGAGCATTTTCACATGCCATACATCAAAATAATATTTACTCTCCCAATTTGAAGGCTATGTTTGTAATAAATCAATAGTAACTAGATAAATATCTCAAAAGTGCAATAAACAAAAAGAAAAACAATAACAAATGTAATTCTACATATTTTATTCAATACAAAAAATGGATAAATGTCAGCCTCAAACTTGTAAATGCAAAAAATGTGTATAAAACAATTTAAAACTGTATCGAATTGATTTGAACTGTTTACCTAAATTAGTTTTTAAGATAGACAAATTTTTACACTCATTCAAAAAAAGGGGGTAAAAATTCCATGTAAAATATTCAATTACATTTGTGGTCAAACAGATGACATTTTGCTTTGAATATTGATTGAACCTTGAATTGGTTAAAATATGAAATAAAAAAAACCCTGTCAGAACAATTAATAATAAAATAAATATAAAATAAATAAATAAAGCCGATGAGCAGACGGAGAGTTCAGCGTCATAGGATGCAATTAGTATTTCCAAAACCTCAGCATCTGTGTACTTTCGTTTAGACATAACGTTGCGCGTGTGTGTGTGTGTAAATGTCCTTGTATTTGTAAGTGTATAAACGAGAAAGAAATGATAGAATGAAGCACTGGTAAAAAAAAAACAATAACGATAAGAAGGAACATATAGCAAATGGGAGTCAAACACATGGTAAAATGACACAGCGTTTGACGCCACAACATGCGACACATGCTGAGGTCATAGTGCACAGACCATGATCCGTCCATGGATCCGTCAATGAGCCATCGGAAGACGTAACTATCAATCGCAGATCTACAGAACGTGTGCAAAGACGTGCAATGCATTTTTTTTTTTTTTTTTTTTTTGTAAACGCATATTACGCAATTTGTACAGACTCATTAGAGGTTGAAAACAACGCAACATAAGCATGTTGGAGGCTTGATCTGAACATGTAACATCTCTGGTTTTGTATGCAAAAATAATGATTGAGCTAGCCATTTGGTCTCAGTTTCCATAGGCTCGTAAATAGACACACGCAAACCAGAGCGCCGAAGCTCCCGACGGTCTTAGAGGGTTAACGTAATAATAAAAAAAGTGGCACAGCTTTCCCCACTTTCTCTTTTGACCGCTTTAATTCATCCTCATCCTTTTTATGCTAAGACATTTCATTAGTTCTGACTCTTCATAGAAAGGACTACATTTATTTAAAGTCTTCGTTCTGAGACAAAGCTGGCATTCTTCTTCATTGGCTAATTATAATCTTCAAATGAGTTTGGAATTTTCAAGCATCCTATTGCTTCAAAATTTATGAAAACTATTTTAATTGTCAAGTACAGCTCTAACTAATGTATCCCTTACAGTGGGACTGTTTGTATTATACTTTGTCGGTTCTAATATTCTTCAAATTATACTTGCCTGAGAAGAACTAAAATGACTGTCTACTTGTTCTCATAAAACTGAATCTAATGATATAGTCATACGGTAGAAGCGTCTATCATTATGTTCAACTCTTAATCCTCTTAGTTTTATAATAAGATTAACCTAGACCATTTTCAATTTCTGAGCCGATCTACCTGATATTAAGTCCTTGGTTTTCATTTTACAGTTATTTATTTTGCTATTCCAGTTTCTGGACTCTGCATATTTCTAGTTTTGGCCTGTCCAAGTTCTGCCACCACAGAGAAATGTAATCACCACATTCCCAGGGCCTCCAGGGAAGGGCAGCTGCACGTTTTCAGTGCCACATGGCCAGCGGGAACCTGGATAGGCTGGCCATCCAGCTTCCCTATGGGACCAGCTCGACATCTTGGGTTATCAGGGGACTGGGAGACAGCCCACTTCCCTGTAATGAAGAAAAACGTATTGCAATGACAGTCTTGGAGCGTTCGAGGCACATTTTGCTGCTAATTATATTGGTCAGTGGAGTATGTGGAGTGAAAGTTTTGACATGAGGTATGAGTAGAATGACCATACGGCCTAAATAATCTCTGTATTGCTGAAAGATTGAAAGCTCACTGAAGAACAGCTTTTGGGGATTTTAACGAAAAGATATGGGTCATTTCAGTTCTCTTGACTGTTCCATATGTTCTTGCCTTTTGTCTTGAGTGCTATGTTCTTCATCAGGAAATACAAAGACATGCTTCAGTGACAAATTGTGCTACTATTCCCCCCAACTCCACCCCTCCCTGAAGTTTGAATTGAACAGAGAGAGTAAGAGAGATTGATTTTTGTTTTGTTCTCATTCTTGTTCTGGGCGAAGCATTAACTCACAACACTCAGAAAGGAATGAGCACACAAGGTGAGCACATGATGTTCTTGTTTTTGAAAAGATGACAGCTGTTTTCTGTAGACATCTGTCAAGTTAAGTATACATTACTGGCCCTTAAATCCATCTTTGATCAACTCTACTTCATAGTACCTGGGTTAAACTTTAACAAGAAGCTCTATGCACAATGTATTTACTTGGGACACAAGAAATACCAGTTTTTTCCCCATTAATATATTTTAGTAATGTTTAGAATGTTTTCTGATCTCCCTGAAACACCTTGATTGTAGCCTTGAGTTTTCTTCCAGGAACGTATCACAATATCCCTCTATCATTAATTAAATTAAATCATTCCCGCCCCAAGGCATACACCAAAAAAAAGTGAGGCATGGTTGTGTTAGTAGTGTGGAAACTTGTGGTTATTGTAAGGGGCTTGACATTTCTGAAACACGCTCGAAGTGGTTGAACAATCACAACACACTGGTCCAGTCGACCAATCATGAGTGCGTTTCACATACAACGACGTAGTTCGCTGCTTCACTACCATAGTACGATGCATCGTTGGAAAAATCAACTAGCTAGTCACGACTGTTTCCCAAAACCCACTGTTGCAAAGTATCGTTCAACCACGTTGGTTTTGCACGCGGTAGAGTAATAACTGCTTTTAATGAAACTGTTTGAGATTCAATTAACACTATATCTGTTATAATATAAAATATAAATATATTTTATATAAATATAAAATCTGAGGACTATTTCTACTTGTTCTCAGTTATTTTGCTTTATTACCAGACTCAATATTTGGCTCGTTCTTACATAGTAGAGCACATTTGCACATGCGCATTCTTCAAACACGTTACTTAAAACCTTTTGACAAACTAAAAGACGTAAATTAAATTTGTATGTCTTGTAAATAAAAGGCACCGGTTGTACTGAATGTCAGCTTGCTTATTTTGCTCAAGATAAGGATTTATTACGTCCAAATGTCATGCAATATAGAAACAATGCCTCTAATCTGTCGTTCAAACCACACATCTTTGCGATGCTGTTTGCGAATGTTCCTTGGAGGAACGATGGTTTCGGGAAACACCGACTCGTTGAACTATGCTGATAACGACGGAACTTGCGAACATAGTTGGCTAACGATGCTTTCGGGGAACGCACCCCAGAACACATTGTGCTTTTCTGAAAGAGGGGCATCAGT